CGTTCTCTTTTTCCACCTGTAATTAGCCTGTCTGTGTTTTACCTGTCTGTGTGTTACCGGTCTGTGTTTTACCTGTCTGTGTGTTACCGGTCTGTGTCTTACCTGTCTGTGTGTTACCTGTCTGTGTGTGTCTTACCTGTTTGTCTGTATGTTACCTGTCTGTCTGTGTGTTACCTGTCTGTCTGTGTGTTACCTGTCTNATGTATAAATATACAGTATATATACTGTATATTTATATGAGGCCTCTCAACTGCATCAGGAGTGACACAGACGCAGAAGCACAGAGACAGGCGACAGAGAGCAGGGGTACAGTCTGATGTTGTTCTCTGTGTTCCTGTTGTTGCAATAAAACTCAGTTGATCATTTCCACTGAGTACCTTCATTCTTGGACCATGTATGTCTGTCTTTGTTAAATAAATATTTCCATAAAAATGTAGGGTTAATTTGGGTATATTCTAAAATGGATAATTTGTGAATTATTTAAATAAACAAATTATTTAACCTCGAGGCACCACTTCCCTTTTATTTTGTTATTTGTACACAGGAAAGAGAAGAAGGAACTGTAACTTTACTGTAATCAGTCTCAATAAATTTACCCAAAATTATCTGATGAGTTCTTTTCTTATCAAAACCAATAAAACCTTATTAAGACACAAAAATTAGACATCTCATATTGACCAGTTCTCCACCGTTCATTTATTTACAGATTAAATGTATTTACAGGTATGGCGAGTATGAAATGATGACATTCTGAACCAGAAGAACATGGAGATGTTTGAGCTATGAGTGAATAACAAAACAAAAAACAAAATAAACACTAAAAGGTGAGTTTTGAGGCTGGAGTGAGGTGAGGTGAGTTTTGCTTTGGCTGAGAATTTAACTAAGGGATCCTAGTTAAATGAGAGAAAAATCGTTTAGTTTATCAAATCTCATACAAAGATAAGAATCAAATTACGTCTGAGCAGCTGTTTGTCACCAGAACAAATGTTCACTTTTACCCTTTTGTTTCCGCCATGTGGGTACCAGGAGGGGTCAGCGATTGAAGGTCATCTCTGGGGGTCGTTTCCCAGGTAGGCTCTTCATGCAAGCTGAAGTGACAAACCACAGGGGTTTTCCTGTAAACTCAACCGGTCCCGGTGGTCAGAGAAAGGGGTCACTTCCTGGTGACAACGTGGTCCGGTCCTCTTAGGTGGCTGCAAGTCTTATTAATTTGATTTCAACTTTGTAGAGAAAAACGGACTAAAAATGATGCATGAGTTACAATTAGCTTATTTAACTTCTATAAAAATCAAACTCAGGTGTGGAGTCGATGTGAGACGGTGGCTGCATGTTCAACCCAGTGGGAAAGTACCACCGTCCTGCCCATCCCATGGGGGAAGGGCTGACAGGCAGGGCCTCTGCTGAGCTTCTGCAAACTGACAACTTTAACTGGCTTCAAACTCTCTGAGAGATTGGGAGTGTGCTAAGCTTTTTAAAACATCTGTTTTGGGCGGAGTTAAGTTGTTAGTTGGCCAATGGAGGGTTTTAGTTTGATTATCTCGCATCTAATTAAAGGAAGAGAGGAGCTATCTGGGCTTTGCCACAGGGATAAAACTGTCACAGTTAATTATTAAAATTCAGGTCCTAAGTTTCTAAGGATTAAACATATATAT